TATCAAATTGGTCAGACAACAAAATATCATTAAAGATTTTGTTGTTTATAATTTAAAAAAAGGAATGCTAGAAACATAAAAATAAAGAAAAATAAAAAGATTATTTCAATATTTAATCATATTATGAAATTCGAAGGTACATTGTTTAAAAAACTATGGCAGTTAGAAAACTATGGCAGTTGAAAGTCGGTGTAAAAGAGGCTGAGTTCGAGGTTTTTTTAACATACGAAATGGAAGGGCAATTGCCCCTGCAGCGCCAATAACATTCCATTGTTTAAAAAATAGGTTATTGTCTTCCTCTCCATATAAAAAAGGTTTGCACCGCAGCTATTTATGAACAGCCTGATACGATTCTTCGTTGAAGGTCCTTCTTAAATGATTTGTTTTTGGTGGAACTACTTATGTCAAAAAGATAACATTGTCGGTTAAACTGATAAATGGTCCTTCTTGTGTTTATAGAATACCTTAAATGATTCTTTGTTGAAGGTCCATCTTAAATGTGTTGCGTTTGGTTGAAATACGTGCAGTTGAAGGAAAACATTGCTGTATAAACTGATAAATGATCCTTTCTTGTGTTTATAGAAAGCTTTAAATGATTCTTCGTTTAAGATACATCTTAAATGAATCGTGTTTGGTCGAACTACTTACAGCAAAAAGAAAACATGGCTGGTTTAACTGATAAATGTACATTTCTTGTGTTTATAGAAAACATTAAAAATTCTTTCTTAAAAGTCCATCTAAAATATTTTGTATTTGATGGAAGTACTTGCGGCAAAAAGAAATCGTGGCTTGTTTAATTTATATATGGTCCTTTCTTGTGTTTATATAAAACTTTAAATGTTTTTTCCTTCAAGGTCGATCGTAATTGAATTGTGTTTGATCGAACTTTTGACAGTGAAAAGAAAACATGGCAAGTTAAACTGATAAATGGTCCTTCTTGTGTTTATACAAAATCTTCAATGATTTGTCGTTAAAGGGTCCATCTTACAAGTGATGCGTTTGGTCCAAATCCGTGCTGTAAAAGGACAACAGGGCTGTTTGAACTCGTATAGGTCCTTCATTGTGTTTATAAAATGCTTTAAATAATTTTTTGCTTAAATTCCAACTTAAATGAAGTGTCGAACTTTTTGGTCGAACTAATTACGGTGAAAAGAAAATATAGCCCGTTAGACTAATAAATGGTCAATTCTTGTATTTTTAAAAAGCCTGGAATGATTCTTTGTTAAAATTCCATCTTTAATGAGTTGTGTATGGTCGAACTACTGACGGCAAAAAGAAAACATGGTTGGTTAAGCTGATGAATGGTCCTTTCTTGTCTTTATTTAAAACCTTTTAATGATTCTTCCTTTAAGTTCCATTTTAAATGTATTGCGTTTGGTCCAAATATGTGCGGTGGAAAGAAACATGGCTGGTTAAACTGATAAATGGTCCTTCTTCTGTTTATAGAATATCTTAAATGATTCTTCGTTAAAGGTCCATCTTAACTGTGTTGCGCTTGGTCCAAATATGTGCGGTGGAAAGAAAACATGGTTGGTTAAACTGATAAATGGTCCTTCTTCTGTTTATAGAATATCTTTAATGATTCTTCGTTAAAGGTCCATCTTAACTGTGTTGCGCTTGATCCAAATATGTGCGGTGGAAAGGAAATATGGTTGGTTAAACTGATAAATGGTCCTTCTTGTGTTTATAGAATACCTTAAATGATTCTTCGCTAAAGGTCCATCTTAACAGTGTTGCGTTTGGTCCAAATATGTGCGGTGGAAAGAAAACATGGCTGGTTAACCTGATAAATGGTCCTTCTTTTGTTTATAGAATACCTTAAATGATTCTTCGTTAAAGGTCCATCTTAACTGTGTTGCGTTTGGTCCAAATATGTGCGGTGGAAATAAAACATGACTGGTTAAACTGATAAATGGCCCTTCTTGTGCTTATAGAATACCTTAAATGATTCTTCGTTTAAGGTCCATCTTAACTGTGTTGCGTTTGGTCCAAATATGTGCGGTGGAAATAAAACATGACTGGTTAAATTCATAAATGGTCCTTCTTGTGTTCATAGAATATGTTAAATGATTCTTCGTTAAAGGTCCATCTCAAATGAATTTTTTTGTGGAACGACTTATTGCAAAAAGAAAACATGGTCGGTTAAACTGATAAATGGTCCTTGCTTCTCTTTAAAGAAGAACATTAAATAATTTTTCGTTAAAGTTCCATCTTGAATGAATTGTGTTTGGTCAAACTATTTACGGTGAAAAGAAAACATGGTTAGTTAAATTGATGAAAGTTCCTTCTTGTGTTTATAGAATACTTTAAATGATTTTTCGTTAGAGGTCTGTCTTAAATGAATTTTTTTTGTCCAACGATTTACGGCATAAAGAAAACATGGTCGGTAAAACTGGTAAATAGTCCTTTCCTGTGTTTATGGAATACCTTAAATGATTCTTCGTCAAAGGTCCATCTTAACTGTGCTGGGTTTGGTCCGAATATGTGCGGTGGAAAGAAACATGGCTGGTTAAACTGATAAATGGTCCTTCTTCTGTTTATAGAATATCTTAAATGATTCTTCTTTAAAGGTCCATCTTAACTGTGTTGCGCTTGGTCCAAATATGTGCGGTGGAAAGAAAACATGGTTGGTTAAACTGATAAATGGTCCTTCTTCTGTTTATAGAATATCTTTAATGATTCTTCGTTAAAGGTCCATCTTAACTGTGTTGCGCTTGGTCCAAATATGTGCGTTGGAAAGAAAACATGGTTGGCTAAACTGATAAATGGTACTTCTTGTGTTCATAGAATACCTTAAATGATTCTTCGTTCAAGGTCCATCCTAATTGAATTTTTTGGTGGAACGACTTATGGCAAAAAGAAAACATGGTCTGTTAAACTTATAAATGGTCCTTGCTTGTGTTTAAAGAAGAATATTAAATAATTCTTCGTTAAAGTTCCATCTTGAATAAGTTGTGTTTGGTCAAACTACTTACGGTGTTGTTTTTTGTCGAAATATGTTAATTGAATACAACACTGGGCTTGTCAAACTGTTGAATGCCCTCTCCCTGTAGTGGAAAATATGAGTTTATACTTTTTTCTTTTTTAAAGGGCCATGTTTGGTCAACATTTGTTTGATGAAGGGAAAAAAGGACTTTTTCATTTAACAATTTTTTTGTTTAAAAATTTGCATAAATTTTCGAAATGTTGATTGATGAAAAGTTCTTTATAAAAGAGGAATTGAATTCTGATAATAGATAAATTATATATTTGGTTATATATCTGAAAACTATAAATTATTTTTAGATTCCAAGCAGCAGCAATTTTGAAGTTAACTTGATAAAGTAAAAAATTTAAGAAAATATTAGTCTAGCTATAAATTTCTGCCTAAGTATCCATTGACAAAAGTTTTCAAAGAACAATGAATCTAACTTCTTTTAAGAGTTCTTTTTAAGCATTTGGCTGCCAAGACCCTTCAACTCAAAATGTGGTAATGTAACCAACTCAAGTGGTAATCATTATGGGTATTTTCTTATATATATTATATTATATCAGATTATGATCATTTATCGTTGAAATTCAAACAGATATCTTGAAATTGTAGAACTCTAACGGAAAGTAAACGCTTTTCATAGTACTTGATAGAATATTTTCCAATGAAACCTGGACACATATCTTATTAAAGGTGATAGTTATTCGTGATTTTAATGTTGCTGTGAAAGTAGAAATATTTCTGTTTAGTAAGATAAAGAGCTAGGAGAAAAAATTCAACTTGTTAATCGCCAGAACTAGAACAACTTTAATTGCAATCTTTGTCCTCCATGTAAAGCAGATTTGCCAACAGATATGATATTTCTTAAAAAAACTTCTTATTCATGCATACCATAGAGCTGGACGCCGTGGCGAGTTGACTGGAGACAGCTTTAAAAGGGCAAAATGACAGTGAGTTATATGAATTTATTTTTATGATACCTTTAACAAGAGGCCAAAAATAAAGAGAATATAAATCAAGAATTTAAACATTGTCTTGGGACATGTAAGCAGCTAGTTATCTAGTATTTTACGTTTGTTGTACGTAATTAGTGGCTATCACGTCGGCATACCTAAATCTAGATATTTCCTGACTTTTCCTTTGAAAGAAACAAAGAGGAAAGTAGCAAATATTTGAAAAATAATTCAAAATTGTGTGTCGTTTTGCGAGATAGGATTTCTAAACAATGCGAGATGAACTATGAAACAAGCCTCACCATAAATGACCTCTAAACATAAGTTCAAGACACTTTTGAACATATTATCAATGAATTTTCCTTTATCTCATTAAATCTCTAAACTTTGAAAATGAAAATAAAATGAATCATTGCAGTCGAATTTGTTGTGTCTAGATGGTCGTAATTTATAAAACTGCTTTTTAGATTCTTGTTGCCAACGAAGCTATAGAGCCAACAGACGATAATTCAATGGAGATACATGCTGTTTAGCTGAATAGTCGACAAAGGTACGCTTCAAATATTCATGATTTTTCTTTTGTATCGTTATTCTATAACATTTTGAATGCTTGAAAATTTTCGATTAATTTTGAGGAATTATCAAAAGTAAGATAGACGATCAAACAACGGACATTCAAAACTTAAAAAAAGTCATTTGGTTTAAATAAGATGAAATGATGATAGAAGAGGTAAAAAATTTCTCTACAACCCCCGAATCGTGGTGATCAAGATACAACAACATCATCAAAGTAAAAACAAGATACTGCGGATTCAAAACAGTCAGATATGCAAAATAAACTGAATTTAGACTCTTTTTTGTACCGAACTAAGCCGTTTAGACATTTGAAATTATTTCCAAAATTGTTCTCATATTTAATTATCCACAACTTAAATGGTATAATAATAATTTGCTAGATCGATATGAAAAATATGAATCTTTGGCTCATTGCAGCATTCTAGGAGAAAACTGCTAAAGCCACAAGGAGTAGGTGAGTTTGTTTCGATCGCACTTTCTAAACAGTTATTTGAATATATTCATATCGTGTTTATTATGCTCAATATTCCACCCGAGGCCGACGTGTGAAAAAGGCAATAATTCAGAGATTTCAAGTTACAAAAAAAGCAGACTAAAATTATCTGATGGTGAACAGTTGTTCACGTGTACTACATATATTCTTGCAACAGAAGATTGTAAAATAAAGGAAGATAGCGATACAATTTACAAAGAAGAATCAAACTGAAATTATTTACATCAATTTTCTACATTTGATGTCGGGTATTTGAGTGATTCGCAGTCTAATCGATTCGGATAAAAAAAGGCTTTTCTTTAAAAACATCTACATTCAATGAAAAGAAAATATGCGAATGAATTCAAAATGCTGGTGTTTCGAGGGGACTCATTTTATTGGCTATTTAACAGCGCGCTTGAATTTAAACTCGTTTCTATTCTACGAAAGCAGAGGAGAGGGTGTATCAAAAAATCATTGTCATCATTGTCGTTTTGTGTTCGAGTTGGTCGTTTTCATCGTATTTATCGACGTCGTGTTGGCCAGCATGCTTGTCACATTGAAGAGTTTTGAACTTTTGCACATACAATTAATGCTGTAAGCTAAACTTTTTCTGGGGATCTTTTGTGCGGCGTCCTCATGAGGAATATAAACAGCTTGTTTACCAATCTAAGATTTTCCTGGCTATCTAGACAATGCTATGATCGTATATGATCATGAGAGCAACAAGAGCTGTTTAAGAATACTCTTTTTGGTTGTGTTGGAGAGAGCTTATCTTGGTGTTGTTCTTAATCTCATTCGCTGTTGCTTTCTATTGGCCGTTGATTTATTTTGTCAGAGTTTTATAGATGGCTATCTTTGTTTCTCATCTTTTTCTCCCTTGAAAGGCTGATTTTTATGGATTCTGACTATTGTTAGCAAGTTTACGATGGACGTGTTGTTGTAACAAATTTCTCTTGCTATGAACTCTCGGTATTGACATTTTAACAGCTAAACTGATAAATAGTCCATTCATGTACTGATATAAAGCCTGAAGTGATTCTTCGTTGAAGTTACATCTTAATTGAATTGTGTTTGGTTGAACTACTTGCAATGAAGAAGAAAACATGGCAGGTCAACCAGATAAATGTGTTTATACAAAATCTTCAATGATTTGTCGTTAAAGGGTCCATCTTACAAGTGATGCGTTTGGTCCAAAGACTTGCGGTAAAAGGAAAACATGGCTGTTTGAACTCGTATAGGTCCTTCATTGTGGTTATCAAATGCTTTAAATAATTTTTTGCTTAAAGTCCAACTTAAATGAAGTGTCGAACTTTTTGGTCGAACTAATTACGGTGAAAAGAAAATATAGCCGGTTAAACTAATAAATGGTCAATTCTTGTATTTTTAAAAAGCCTGGAATAATTCTTTGTTAAAATTCCATCTTTAATGAGTTGTGTATGGTCGAACTACTGACAGCAAAAAGAAAACATGG